TTCCCTTACCCGTGGCCATGGCATCAGGGTTTCTAGAAAGTTCCCTCTTAGGGTAATAGCAGGACAGCCTAGCTTCTGTTGGCGTCCCTGGGCAGTTGTGCCTCTCAAGGCCCAAACACTGCCCGTCATCTTTGGCTCATCCTCAGCACCCTTGACTTTCCACCCACCTAGCTCTCTTCCATCCCTTTGTGGCTGGGCTCACTGGGATTGTTTTTGCAGGCTCCTCTAGGGGGAAGTGACATCATGTGGTGTCCTCACTCGGAGGGGTGGGGGTAGGGGCCCTGCGGTTGTGTGTGCTTTGAATTAAATTCAAGGCTTGTGCATTCCAGTAGCGGTGGATTCATCAGCCAGTGTAGCACTCTTGATGGCAAAGCCAGATGTTGGGTGAGCAAAAGGAGGAAAACGCAAATTTTGAGCAGCGCGTGCGCATGCGCGCATGTGAGTGTGTGTGTGAGTGTGCGTGCGTGTGTGAGTGTGTGTGTGCGTGTGTGAGCGTGTGTGTGAGTGTGTGCACGCGTGTGTGAGTGTGTGGGTGTGTGAGTGTGTGCATGTGAGTGTGTGAGTGTGTGCGCGCACGTGTGAGTGTGTGCATGTGTGAGTGTGTGTGAGTGTGAGTGTGTGTGCGTGAGTGTGAGTGTGTGAGTGTGAGTGTGCGCGCGTGAGTGTGTGAGTGTGAGCATGAGTGTGTGTGAGTGTGCGTGTGTGAGTGTGTGTGAGTGTGTGAGTGTGTATGTGCGTGAGTGTGTGTGTGTGTTACCCTGCCGCCGTGTGGATAGGTGGGGGTGGGGGCAGTGCCCAATGTGGCGGGCCCTACCCTGGTGTCTGCCCCCAGCCTAGCATGTAAGTGTCCAGTCATGCCTTGCTTCTAGTTCATCCCAAATTCTCTGAGTGTGGATTTCCCTGTCCTTGGGGTGGTCTGGGGCAAAGGGAGGCTATCCGTTCTGTGATACGGCCTATTTTCCTCTGTAGCCTTCATGGTCACCCCAGAGGTCACAGTGATGACCATTGCTGTGTGGGGGTTATGCTTCCAGAGAATTCTTTAGTTCCTCTCCTTTCCTGTCTCCCACCTGGGATTTCCTGTCCATCTGTCTGCTTGCTTGCCGAGATTAGACTCCCTCTAAGGCCTGCCCCTCATGTGGAAGCTTTTGCTGGCAAGACCTCCCTCCCCATTCCCCATCACCCGCTGATCACTAGGTGACAACTACAGCTAAGACAGGTATCTGCTGCAGCCATCAGTGATAGCCCCATCTAGCAGAGAGGAAGCCATCCAGGCTTCTGCTCTAAAGGATCTGTAGCCTGGGCCCCTGTGAGGGCCAGAAGCAGCCTGGTTGTCAATGGAGATTCTACCACCCTGCCCCTCCCCCACTCCTAGAAACATCCCTGACCTTCCCTGTAAGGAATACTTCCCCCTAGTTAACTTTCTAGCCTGAAAACCACTATCTCTTCTCTCCTGAAAATTTCCAAAAAGAAAGCATATGGCCCCCAGCCCTGAGGTCACCAGCCCAGGGCTGGCTCTCGGGATCCTTGTCATGCAGGAGCGGAGAAATCTGGCCCGTTCGCTCTTCCATGATGTGTGCCTTGCACTGGGCGCCCCCTCCCAGGGCCTCGCTAACCTTCCCCATCACCTTATGACACTGTGTGGTGACATCTGCCTGATGTGCACTCAAGTGCTCGCCGATGACCACACCTTTGACACACATTCTCACCCAATTGCTTCCCAGCCTTTTGGCATAGATAGATGTGTGTGTGGGAACTTGGGGGCTTCCATAAGACGACAGTATTGGGTCCTCGGTGCCATGGGAGGGAATTTGGAAGTAGCTGGGCTTATTTTCCGATTGCCGGGTGGGCGGCTGATTTTATTGAACTTTTCGCTGTTTTGTGTAGGGACATGGTCTCAAGTAGCTCGGGCTAGCCCCAAACTCCATAATAGTTCAAGGGAATGCTGAGTTCCCAAACGTGTGCCATGCCCAGTTGTATGTGTTGGGACTTAAGCTAAGGACTTTGTGGCTGCCCCCCACCACCAACTGAGCTGTAGTCCCAGCCCTTAACGAACACATCGGGGTGTTAGCATTGTGCAGTACGGAGGGCCACTAAGAAGCAAGGCTAGCAAGTTCTCTAGGCGGTAGAGGGAGATGGATCCTCTGTCCCCTCTTGTTTCTGAGCAGGTGACGGTGCTATTCAGAGAACAAACACATGGCACTGTTTACCTGGCATGCTTACATTTGTATAGACATTGCAATGATAGCCGTATAGACTACACGGGAGGGACCAAGATCGGCATGCCTGCGCTGCCAACCCAGGGTTCTCACGGTCAGCCCAGTTCCATCCGGCAGCTGCTTTCTGAGCCCCAGCTCTCCTGTAGCACGGCCTCTACCTGGCGCGACCTCTCGGCAGACAGGTGGACAGACATTTCCCACAGAGCGTGTGAGTGATGAGCAACAGGAAGGAAACAGGAAGGGGGCTGTTTCGCAAGGCTGAATGAAGTTCTCCAGTCAGGGACCTGGGGCTGACATTTCGGGCAGAAATGTATCCCAGCTTGTGGGGGACAGGGAGCAGGATGGGTTAGGAAAGGATAAGGGACAGGTGGGCTTGCAGGAGTAGCCCTGGCTCTCTCTGTAGCCCAGGCTGGTCTCAAACTCAGAGCTCCTACTGCCTCTGCCTCCCCAGTGCTTGGATTAAAGATGTGCACCACCACTCCTGGCTCAAATTTTAAGTGAAAGCATTTTGCAAGAAATGTTTATGGGGAAGGCCAGGAGAAGAGCCCTCTGTTCTGGAGTGGCCTGACAGGTAGCTTTTACCAGGTTGTAGCTGTTTGAAGTGAGGCCTGCTCCAGGCCAGGGAAACAGGAACCTGTGGCCAGGCCAGTGGTGACTCAGTAAATGGGCCTCGGAGCTGGGTGGGGCCTGGGCTGCGGTGTGAGACTCGTGGGGAGGGATCCAGAGTACATTGCCGGGGTCTGAGGAGCAGATGGCACTTCCACGTGCCTGGACCTCCCTGCCTCTGTGGGAAACGGTCCTGGCCAGAAGTTTCCAAGACTCAAGCTGACCGCTGGAGACTATGAGCCGGCACTGTCTGCTCCCTTGTCTCTGTCTAGCTCACGTGCACAGTGACAGAATGCGTGCCCAGAGTGACCCTATGCTACTGCCATTTAAAGGGCAATGCTTTTAAAGCCATCAAAACAGACCCTGACCCATCTAATGACCTCCAAGTGAAGAAAGGAGGGGCCTGCCCGTGGAAGGGTCTGCTGAGCTTCACGGTAGGGCTTCCAGGGACTTAGTTCCTAATAGAAAACCCATGTTAGGCACCACCAGGCTCCAGAACGTTCTGGAACTTTCCAGGTCTATCCCTCCCCATCCCTTCTTTTGTTTGTTGTCCTGGATACACTTCTACATTGGCCTGCTTCCTTACCGTCTGCGTCTGAGGTTTGAGAGCCGCACTAGCCTTACTGACCAGATCCGTAGCCTGCTTAGCGTCTGTCACATTCCTCACAGAATACATGTTACTGTAAAGAATGTCCCACAGAGCCATGGGTGGTGGCCAGCGTTTATAATCCCAGCACTGGGAAGGAAGACACAGTTGAACAAAGAGGCTTGCTGGCAAGCCACCCGTCAGCTCAAGGCCAATGAGAGACCTTCTTTCAATAAATAAAGTGGAGATTCATTGCCAGGATGAGCCTGCCCACCTGAGTTCCATCCCTGGCAACACACGCGGTGGAGAAACTCGACGCCCACAGTTGTCCTCTGACTTTGACTTGTTGGCTATATCAGGTAGCTCGCAAACCCTGCCCACCCCCAATAAGTAAAAATGGAAAAACAAACAAACAAAAACTACCAAGGCAGATGGCGCCTGAGAAATGGTACACGATCTTCACATGATACTCTGACCTTCACATGAATGTCCCGTAGGACATCTCACATGGAAACTTCTAGGGAGGGAACTCTGGCCCTCTTGGATGCGAGGCCGGTGCTCTGCTCTGAGCAGTCCACGGGAACCCCCAGCGAAGACCACAAATCTGAATAACCAGGCTCCTTTATGGTGGATGGCTGCCCATCTGCTCCAGCCCCCAAAGCCTGTTTGAGGAGGAGGTGCTGGAATGTCAGAGTCACCTCACAGGCTCTCCACCAGTCCTACCTGCAGGAGCAGGGCTGCACGCTGTATTCTGTTTACCTTTTCTCTAGTCAGCAATGGGTAGGAAGAACCTGACCCCTGGCCGTAGCCTGCTGCCGCTGCACAGGCCCACCTGGGGCCCTAGTCAGCAAACCATTCATTTGGGATAGGTTGGTTTGGGTTGTTTTGTTTGGGTCTCACTTTCTAGCCCATGCTGACCTGGAATTCACAATGTAGACCAGGCTGGCCTTGAACTCACAGGGACCCGCCTCCCTCTGCTCCCAGTGCTGGAGTTACAGATGTGCGTCATCACACCCAGCTTTTTGGCTTTTGACTTTGTCTTTGGAGCCAGGCTTGTGGTGGTTGCTTTGTTTTTTGAGACAGGGTTTCTCTGTGAGGCTGTGGGTGTCCTGAAAGTCACTCACTCTTAGACCAGCCTGGCTTCGAACTCAGAGATCCACCTGAGTGGTGTCCCCCACCACACATACTGAGACCAGCTGGTGAAACAGGGTTCCGTAGCCCAGGCTGTCCTTGAAGTTCCGACCCTCCTGATTCTAAGGGCTGGGGTTAAAGGTGTGTGTACCTGTGCCAGCTCTTACATGGTGCTGGGTGAGACTGAACACACAGGTCTCTCTGCATATTAGTCAAGCACTGGACCAATTGAACCGCATCCAGGCCACAACAAAACCCTGTTGCTGGCCAGCCTGGGACAAGACGCTTCAGAGCCTCCTCCTCTCCTTCCTTGTGCCAATCAAACTCCCCGGGCCCCTCCGGTTACAGCAGGTGGGCAATAGGCCCACTCCCCTAGTCTGTCCCCTAGGGAGGGACGCCTTCCTCCCCTGGGCTGCCGAGCCCTCCAGGGCTCTCCTCATCTGTGTCTCTGTATTTTGCAGTGATCAGGGCCAAAGCAGTGAGCGAGAAGGAGGTGGATTCCGGGAACGACATCTACGGCAACCCCATCAAGAGGATTCAGTATGAGATCAAGCAGATAAAGGTAGCCCCTGGCCTGGTGGGGGAAGCAGGGGTGGGCCGTCATGGTGGGAAGCGGACAGGCATGGTGCTGGAGCAGTGGCTGACAGCCACTGACAGATGGAGTGACAGACACATTGGGCCTAGCACGGGCCACCCCCAGTGACAGACCTCTTTTAACAAAGCCACACCTCCAACCTTTCCCACGAAGTCCCACCTATTGGGGGACCAAGCCTTTGCATATCTGACCCCACGGACCCATTCTCAATTAAACCACCGAGTCACCCTGATTCCAGACAGGCTAGCTTGACTTTACTGGGTGATAAACCTGTGAGTGGCATGTCGTACGAGGATGAGTCTCACAGTCAGTTGTACTGAGGGGCAGCTCCCTGGCTGTGATGGGCCATTTACTGAGAAGGTAGCCGCTAGGGGACAAGGGTGTGGTGTGAGGACCGCACATGGCCGCGGCCGTGGCCCTGGTGGCGGCTGCTAGCGTTTTCAGAGTACTTTCCATGTCAGGGACAAATGGGAGGAAATCAGCGAGAGAGCGAGAGAGAGAGAGAGAGAGAGAGAGAGAGAGAGAGAGAGAGAGAGAGAGAGAGAGAGAGAGGAGAGGAAGAGAGAGAGAGAGGGAGGGAGAGAAACAGAAACAGAGAGGAGAGAGGGAGAGAGAGAGGGAGGGAGGGAGGGAGAGAGAGACAGACAGAGAGGAGAGAGGGAGAGAGAGACAGAGACAGAAACAGAGAGGAGAGAGAGAGACAGATGTTAAGGGACAGGCTGGAGGTGAGACCCAATTGATAGCATGCTTGCCTAGCACTCATGAAATCCTGAGTTTGATCCCTGGCATTGCAAAACTAGGTAGGGTTGTGCATGCCTGCTCTGACATTTGACCGTTTACTAACTTGGTGTTCAAAGACAGACAGCCCTCTCCTCCAGGGTTCGGGACAGCTCTGTCTCACAGTAGCGGTTGTAGCCACCCTTACTTACCAAAATTGAAGATAAATGTCATCAACAGGCCAGAGGAGTGAGCACTTCCTCATCACAGGTGTCACCTCAATTGAATGAATGAATGAATGAATGAATGAATGAATGAATGACCTCTCAATACCAAAGTCTCTTTATGAGGCAGAGAAGCAGGTGGGTTGAATGCCAGGAAGTGACTCTGACCCCTTGGTGTCATTTGAGATGCATAAGGAGACTGTTGCCCTGGCAACCTTCCTTCCTACAGGATGAGCACTAAGCTCCCCAAAGCTATTTTGACCTGGAGAGGGGCTGGAGCCTGAGGGCTCAGTGGGTAAGAGCACTGGCTGCTCGTCCAGGATTTGGGTCCCAGCACCCACGCCAGGCAGCTCACAACCGCCTGCTGCTCCAGCTTGAGGGTCCCTGGGTTCCGGGGGGCACCTCGTGCACATGGTAGCAGACACGGCAGACTCAAACAGAAATAGAAATAAAGATACGTATTTAAATCTCCAAGGAAGGAGGAAGTGAGAAAAAGACAAATGAGAAGCCCCTTCTGGAGTGCACACACATCTACAGGCTTCTTCCTCCCTCCGAGGGGCAGCAGGGTTAGCCCTGAAGAGCTGAAGTGAGTCAGATGCTGAAGGTGAACCACCCACCCTGAGGTTCTCCCCTTGCTCTGATCAGACAGCCAGTGCTTCACCAAGATCCCTGGAAATAACCAGCGCCGTTGTGTTACAACCCCGTAAAGCCAGCATCCTGGCTGAGGCAAAGAGAATGGAGAGTCGGAGTCCAGGCATGGCTACAAAGTGAGACGTCAGCCTCAGAAAAATTCTGGAAGTGGGGCTGGGGTGTAGATTATTGGGCTGGAGGTCCCAGGTTTGACCCAGAAGACCGGGATAGGGTTAAGGGGGAAAGAGAAGATCAAAAGAAAAGGAGGAAAAAAAATCTTTTTTGTTGTTGTTATGTGGGGTGTTTTGTTTGTCTGTTTTTAGCTTTTCGGTTTTTGGAGACAGTCTTGGTTGTCCTGGAACTTACAGGGTTCTGATTGCCTCTGCTTCCTGAGTGCTGGGATTAAAGACACCCCCGCCCCCTCCCAACACTTTGGTTTGTTTGGGTTTGTTTTGTTTTTCAAAACAGGGTTCTCTGTGTATCCCTGGTTTGTTTTGTTTTTAAAGCAAGCAAATGAGTCCAGAAGACAGAGATGCGAACCTCTGTGTCAAGTGAGAATCTCTAGAATTTATACCGAGGTTTGGAAATGGAGATTTTGTGCTCAGAAATGTCCTTGGACAATGCCTCCTTCAGATAGCAGGCTGTGTCCGCCAACTGAGACCTGCCTACAGCCCTAAGCAGATGTGTAACCCTGAACAAAAGCAGTGGTGGCTTTTGAGTCCCCGGATATGCCTGTTTACCCTCTGTGCACCTCGGGGCGTGGGGCACACCTGGGCCATCATGCTCTGGCTGGGAAACCCAGGGCGGCTGACCCCTCTTCTACTGTGTTTTGCAGATGTTCAAAGGACCTGACAAAGACATCGAGTTTATCTACACGGCCCCCTCCTCGGCAGTGTGTGGGGTCTCGCTGGACGTTGGAGGAAAGAAGGAGTATCTAATTGCAGGTATGTAGGAGCTCAGCCTTGAGTACTGGGGTCATGGTACCCTAGCAGAATTCCTCTGCCTTCCTGTCATCTGTTCCCTAAGGAACAAGCTTCCCACACTGCCCTCTAGGGGCGAACCAGCCCATCTGCACTGGCACAGGGACTGCTGATAGCCCATGTCCTGGAGAAGGTGAAGCTAAAGCGGCCTTTGTTTGTCTGGCCAGCGCCTACTTCCAGAGACCCCCCCCCCCCCAGGTCCTTGCCTAGACAGATACTGTCTGTATTAGTGGTCTCTCCAGTGACCACAGTCCTGGGAAGTCCAGCATCGGCTCCTTCCCTGAGCACTGGCTGGGAGGTAGGGATTTCCCATTTCTTTCTACGGAGATTGCACAGACCCTCTGCCTTCGTGTTATCAAGGCGTCCCATGATCCCCCAGTACAGACGAAGGTTTGCCTCAGGCACAGTGATTAACATGGGGTCCGCTTGCAACACCTGGCAAGAGCTGGTTCTGTTTCTTGTGAGCTGATTGGTGTCATATTGTCAGCCAGAGTGGGGGCATTTCTGGCACAGAAATCACCAACTGCTGCCGGCTTTTCCTCCTCGGAGAGCCAGTAGACAGGGGCTCTCCAGCCGAGCCCTGGGGCACCCCTGCTGGCTCTACAAGGTCGATACCCACTGGGAGTCTCTGTAGCCTGTGACACACCAGATGCCCAGGCCGTATCTAGTGCAAGTCAGCAAGTCAAGGAAAACGTAGGGCCGGAATCTGTCCCCTGATGAGTCCACATCTGACTGGGATTGACGGCCAGTTTCTAACCAGAACCTTCCCTGACAAAGGCCAGAAGTTGCCCCGTGGGAGGGACATGCCTCCGTAGCCATGCACATGAACTCTATTTTTGACCTCCTGGGGCCAGACCTGTCAGTCAGCCCTGCTTACCACTTGGTTATCCCAAGCATGCACGCTGCTTTCCGTTCCATGAGATGGAAGCCAGCCCACCAGACCAATAAGGGGCTTCTGGGCAGGCAGTTTACAAATAGGTAAGCCATGCCTTGCTATCAGGAGCCCGGACGCCCAGGGACTGCTACAGCCAGGCTCAAACTCCTGCCCCGTGCCTCGTGCCCTGATACCATGAGGAAGCTGTGAAGGCCTGAGCAAAGGGGAGGGTGGAGTCCTACAGGGTAGCAATGTGATGAGCATCGCTGGGGGCTGCTGTGTTTCGTATACTTGGGGGCATGTTAGGACATTCTCTCTGACTCTGACCGTCTTCTGCACAAGCTCTATGTCCACCCAAAGCCCGGGGAGTCAGTCCACACGGGAGGCCACATTACTTCAGTGACTGTGTATGTGGACATTGGTTTCTGTCATGTGGGATCCCTGCCTTCCACACTGGCCATCAGAGGTTTCCCACATGAACCATCTGTTTTGTGCTGTCCCTACCACACCCATATGCGGCCACTCCTCCTCAGTCTAAGTAAAGAGAAAATCACACAAGTAGTACTGCACAAGTTTCCTAGGCCTGCTAAGACCTCCCTCCACTGTGGCTGCAGGAGTAATGCAGATTGAAAGTGCCGTGTGCCTGTCACTTAGACTACATCACACACACTGCCCCAGACACATGGGCACTTTTAAATCCCGTGACCGGCCCCAGAGCATAACATCACAACATCGTAACACCTTTCAAAATGCAGCATGCGGTTCTAAAAGCTACATTAGTGTAGCTGGGCTCGGTGGCACACGTCTTTAATCCTAGCAGTTGGGAGGCAGAGGCAGGTGGATCTCTGTGAGCCGACATAGTGAGACCTTGTCTTGAAAAACAAACCCCAGAAACCTCCTGCAGTTCTAGGCTAGCTGGAGAGCTCAGTGGGTAAAGGCACTAGCCACTAACCCTGACAACCTGAGTTCAGTCCCCAGATTCTACATGATAGAAGAAGACAAAAGTGACACTAAGTTGTCCTCTGGCCTCCACACATGCACACCCATACATAGACCCACTCACCTACACACACACAAAATATATGATTGGAACAAAACCTGCAGAAAATACATATTGTAGAATTGCCTTCATATCTGTGCCTGAGCATAGGATACAATAGCATGTAACTGTTACTGTCTATTCTAGGACTATGTCATCTTCCTAAACTACATCTCTGTAACGAGTACGGTTTTTCTGCCTGCCGCTTGGTTTTGTCCTGCCGCTGCGCCGCCAGCCCCAAATAACACACAGAGACTCTGTATTTGATATTATCCTGTTGGCCAGTTACTAGTTTCTTATCGGCTAGCTTTATCTTAATTATTAACCCATTTCTGCTGATCTATGTATTTCTCTTACCGGGGAGCCGGCGGCATACTGCTTTCTTCAGACTCTCCATCTTGACTCTCCTTACTACTTCCTATTTCCTCCTTGTCTCCTAGTCCCTCCTATCTTCCTTTCCTATTGGCCAACAGTGCTTTATTATTAACCAGTATGAGAAACATATACAGAATGACATCTCCCATCATCTCCTCTTTTCTGTCTAAATAAAAAGAAGGGTTTTAACCTTAGCATAGCAAAATATATTACATAACAGTTATCAAATAAGAATCACAGTTAACAATATTTAGTCCATTAACATTTACAAGATTTGAAGAAAATATTTCATCATCTATTCTATCTTTGTGTGTCTAAAGTCTAAGTAACTTATCTTTAATCCTAACTAATGAAAACTATAACCATAACTATCTGTCTTTAACTCCTTCAAAGACCACAGAAGGATAATATATAAGCTCTAGAAATGACAGAGACAACTCATTGCCTGGTCACCCGAAGTTCTTCTGTAATCTTCCATCTTCAGCCCATAGGCCATAGTGTGTCTGGCAGACTCTTCAGTAACGCAAGAAACTTTAAACTGTATTCTTGTATTGGCAGTTTGTCAGTCACTTTTGTCTGTGTCCTGCATGATGTCTTGCAGACTCTTCCATGAAGCAGGATCTCTGTAGCAATGTCTATTTTGAATCAGAAGTCACTTTACTGTGGGTCCTGCATGTCCAGTTTATACATCACAAAGTCAAACAGTCCAGACCAGAGGAGTATCTTGTCCAAATGGCTAGTCTTGACATATTGGAAGTAAACTCCAAAACGTGTTTCTTTAATGTCCATCTTTCTTTTTGACGCAGGTGGTGTTACCAGGAGCATTTATTTCTCATTGTCAAGTAAAACCCTAAATAATTTTAAATGCCATATTCTGTAGGTCTTTGAAAGGTTTGAAGAATTCCTATCTATCTTAAATACATCTCTGTGTGTCTTGAAAACCCTAACTAAACTCTAAGCTTTGACTATCATAGGTAATTATCTATAATCTGTACTACATTATACATTACATTTCTAAATGAGCTATACAAACAAGAGGAGAAATATACATATGACAAAATTGACCTTAAATTGTATCAATAAATGAAAATCCATTCCAAAACAAAGTAATCATATCAATACCATAATTCCCTTTTTACCTTTAAAAATAATTGGCTGCGATCATTACCCATTTATAACCAGGTCCATTTAAATGAAACCAAACATTTATAAACAATATTTGGGAATTTGGGCGTCGTTCTTTCCAAACTACTTCCTGCTGATAGGGGGCGTTGTCATGGGGATCCTAAGAAGATGCAGAAATCCTGGCTGTAGTCTGCAAGTCTGCCTTGTTCAAGCTGTTTTGAATGTTGGATCATCAGGAACTCTGTTTCAGGGGGTCTGGCTTGCTCAAACCACATTAGTCTGCAAGGAATCCACAGCTTTTCATTTTCTGTGGAAACAAAAATAGAAATCCTTTTCCCCAGTAACTTGTCCTTGAACTTACATTTTTGAGTCAAAGCATTTTTAAAATATATAAATTGAATTAATCCAGCAGCATTTCCTTTATCAGTTGTTGTTATTTTCTCAGCAGTCAAACAATATAGAGACAACACAATAGCATACAATAAACAGATTCTCTCTGAGCTTTTCATCTTTACGTGCCTTTATTACTCTGTTTCTTTTACTTTTTATTTTTTGAGACAGAGCTTTTCCTTGTAACTCTTATCTGCCCTGGAATTCACTTTGCATACCAGGTTTACTTTGCAAATCACAGAGATCTGCTTGCCTCTGTCTCTCAAGTGCTGGGATTAAAGGTGTGTGCTACAACACCCAGTTCCTCTTTGTCTCTTTAAAACCATTTTTTTTTCATGTCTACATATATTTTAAAACACACTGTAAACCTTTAGAGGTTTTTCTTAATATGAATCTGTCTTTACTGTAAATCTTTATCTTCGTCTGGCCACAAGTCTTTTATCTGATAAACAACAACATTGCTAAAATGAAAGTCATAGCTGTGTCAGCCGCGGTTTACCAAAGATGGTGGCGGGTATTTTACCGCCAGCACGGAAAGCTGTGCTCACCGCCTTGGTCTGCGCTGCCACCCAGAAAGCATGCTGCCTGCTTGGAGATGTGGTCACTGCCATTGCCATCTCTCATACACATCAATAAACTGTTAGCAGAGTTATTTAAAAGCTGTGCGGTTTTTTGCCGTTTATGCTGAGTCAGGAACCTTCCCTTAAAGGAGCCGCGCGAATATCTGCTTGTCTCTAGCAAGTCAGAGTCCAACCGAGAAAAATGCTGTTACCAAGAAACCTTGCTTATTTCTGTTCTTTTGTTTCTACAACCCTTTTTTAACCTTTTGTTAAATTTTAAGTGGAAGTTCTTACTAGCCACGTGGGCGCCATTTGTAACGTGTACGGTTTTTCTGCCTGCCGCTTGGTTTTGTCCTGCCGCTGCGCCGCCAGCCCCAAATAACACACAGAGACTCTGTATTTGATATTATCCTGTTGGCCAGTTACTAGTTTCTTATCGGCTAGCTTTATCTTAATTATTAACCCATTTCTGCTGATCTATGTATTTCTCTTACCGGGGAGCCGGCGGCATACTGCTTTCTTCAGACTCTCCATCTTGACTCTCCTTACTACTTCCTATTTCCTCCTTGTCTCCTAGTCCCTCCTATCTTCCTTTCCTATTGGCCAACAGTGCTTTATTATTAACCAGTATGAGAAACATATACAGAATGACATCTCCCATCACATCTCTGTCCACTGGCCTAGAGCATCTCACTCCTTGTCTCGCCCTGGGCCCTGGGCTCCGTTCCCCACCTTCTACTTTTAGTTTCTGTGACCTTGTCCATTCTAGGGAGCTCACGGTTGTAGCAAGGTAGATATCCTTTTGTGGTGGCTGATTTTACTGAGCATGCTGTCAGGGTCCATCCATGTCAGAGCAGGTATAAGACTTGCCTCCCTTTTTGTGTGTATGTGAACACAAACTCACATACATACATACATACATACATACACACACACATGCATACACACATACATATATACACATACTCATACATGCACACACATATATATACATACACACATATACATTTACATACATACACACATATATAACACACGTGCATACATACACATATATACACATAGACACATACATGGATACACAATACATGCATATACATACACACATGCATGTACATACATACATGCACACATATACACACATACACGTGCACGTACACATACATACACATACACAAATACACATGCATACATATAGACACATACACATCACATACATACACATACACATGCATATACGCATACATACACATACATACACACACATGCACGTACACACATAATAAAATATATGCATACATACATAGACACACACACATGCACACACATAATATACACATGCACACATACACACATTTGGTGGTGCTAGGGATGAAATCCAAGGTCTTAGAAATGCTATGTCAGGGCTGTACTACTGAATTGTATACTCACCCTGTTCAGATATGTGTAAATTTTTAATGTGATATTTTTTGCCATTGAATCTGACAAGTGATTTCCTATTTTTATACACACATATGCACATGCACACATGCACACATATGGCATATGAGTAGAAGTCAGAGAGGGAGTCAGCACTCTCCTACAATGAGGTCCCAGGGATTGAACTCAGGTTGACAGGTTTGGGCCAGCAAGTGCCTTTATACACTGAGCTATCTCATTGGCTCTGTGGAGGACAATTGAAGATGCGGAGACGTCACTCTGTTTTGTACAAAGAGAACAAACTAGTGGAGTGAAAAGGTGGCCAGTGGTCCATGTGTGTCGTGCCCAGGCATTGCCTCTGAAAACACACCTGTTTGGGTTTGGCCTGGTGGCCTGAAGTGTCAGAGCCTCCCGCATGCTGTGGTGCGGCAGCTGTTGTCATATGTAAGTGAGAGATGGCAGAGAGACGCTGGCTCCTTTACCAGGGCCTGCTCCATGTTCACAAATAACTGTGTTTCATAAGTGCCAGGTGGCAGGTCCTGTGTGACACACAGAATGAGAGCCAGTGAGTAGCATGGTGTCTGCAGAGACCCCGATAGAAAGCCACCCTCAGGGGACTGGGCACTGTGTAGATGGGTAAAGTGTTTAAGCCCCCCGTGAAAGCTGGGCATGGCAGCACTGAACTTAACTGGACTTAGAGACGGGGGTCCCTGGAGCTCTCTGAATTGGTAACTAAGTTCAGTGACAGGCCTTGGCTCAAAAATAAGATAGTGAGCAGCTGGGGAGCACACCTAACATGGACCTCTAGCCTACACACACACACACACACACACACGAATATGTACATATGTTTATACCACACAATGCATAAACCACATGTACAAACACATATGAACATATATACATGCTTATACGACACACAGACATATAACACATCCACAAACACATATGAATAGGTATACATGTTTATGTCACACACATACATATACTACATATGCAAACACATAAAACATGCATACATGCTTATAACACACACATACATATACCACATATACAAACACGTAAGAACATGTATGCATGATTATACCACATACACACAGGATATTCATGATGCCAACGATGCCTGTGTGTTGCTTGGGACAGCCAGAGGTGTTTTTCTATGCCTCTTTTGGTCTCTCCACCAGGACATTCTTTGCCTGCCTGTAAGTCAGCTGCTCGGTCAATCAGGGCACACACCTTATTCTTCTCTTGTAAGAGGAACCAGGCATGAAGCACACTGTCCACAGAACCCCTCAACCTTTCTCTTTTGGGGCTTGGTCGGGTAACTCCAGATTGGACGAGCCTTTACTGCCCACGGCACAGAACCTGTTTCCCGTTCTTTAGAGTCTGGATAGGCCCTTAGCCAGGGGCTCCCCAGAAGTCACATGGCCCAGCAACTGCCCAGCCAGCTGGCGATGGATACCTCTTCTTCCCAGGCTGATGAGTCAGCGTCACATGTGGGCTTGTACAGACTGTTGCCTCTAATTTTCTAAGTTTCTCCCTCCTGAAAGGAAAAGTAAACATATAAGCCCTCGCTGCACATTTTGCTCAATTCCTGTTCCTCTGTACCCAAGACTCATACTTTGCTTTTTCCCAGTTAAAGTGCTGTATCAGATGATTATGCCACGTGAGCCCAGCCAAGTGTGATTATACTAAAGGGGCTTCTTTTTTTAAAATTAGTGTTCACTAACTATACAAATAATAGCAGGCCTTCAAGATGGCTCAGCCAGTAAGGGCACTTGCTCAAGAAGTTTGCTGACATTTACTCAACCCATGAACTTTCGTAAAAGTAGAAGTAAAGAGAACACAATATAAAGTTGTCCCCTGACTGCCACATGCACGCTGTGATATGTCAGGGTACTCTCACACACATAAACATCATACATGCGATAAATATTTAGATAAGAATTATTGGGACATTGTGATACATGTATATAGTGTACTTTGATCTGGGGCCAGAGAGATGGCTCAGTGGTTAACAGTGATTGCTGTGAACCATGAGGACCCGAGTTCAGATCCCAGCACTCATGTAAACAGCCAGGCGTGGTCTTGTAAGGAGTATGGTTTTTCCGCCCGCCGCAGGTCTTGTTCCGCCGCCGCTCCAGCCCCAATTAACACACTGAGACTCTGTATTTGATATAATGCTGTTGGCCAGTTACTTGTTTCTTACCGGCTAGCTCTGTCTTAATTATTAACCCGTTTCTGCTAATCTATGTATTTCCACGTGATCTCCTCTTACCCTCAGAGAGCCGGCTGGCATCCTGCTCTCCTCAGTCTCTCCATCTTGACTCCTCCTTACTACTTCCTCTTTCCTCCTCATCTCCTAGTCCCTCCTATCTTCCTTTCCTATTTGGCCAACAGTGCTTTATTCATTAACCAGTATGAGAAACATATCTACAGGATGGCATCTCCCATCATGGTCTCACGCTTGGAGGGGTGTGGCAACCCCTTTTCCTTCGTTGCTGCACTCCTAAATTCTCTACACTGAGAATTAATTTCATACCTGTTTCTGTGATAAAAATACCCCGAGGAAAAGCAACTTGGAGAAGAAAGGATTTACTGGAACCCATGGTTCAAGGTTGTAGTCTTTCAGTATGGGTAAGTCAAGGCAGGAACGTGAAGCAGCTAGTCAAGAGCAGAGAGGACAAAAATGCACGCATGCTCATCTGCTTGGTTGCTTGTGTTTGGCTCAACTTCTCCGCTCCTACATAGGTCAGAATCCCTGCCTAGGGAATGCTGCCACCCACAGTGGCCTGTGTCTTTCAACATGGATTAAGTAAGACAGTTCCCCACAGACATATCTACATGCCTGCCGACCCAAGGCAAACAATCCTTCTTCGAGAATGTCTTCTCAAGAGATTCTAGGTTATGTCAAGTTACAATTGAAGCTAGCCGTCATACACATGCATTTTTCCCCTTTGGTATTTTTTTTCCCCAGATAGAGATTTATATAGCCAAGACTGTCCTCAAACCCACTATGTAACCAAGGTTGCCCTTCATCTCATGAGTCTTCTGTCTTTACCTCTTTGTACCCCACCATACCAGGATCAAACATGCATTTTAAAAAATTGGTGCACACCTTTAATCCCACCACTTGAGAGGCAGAGGCAGATGGATCTCAGTGAATTTGAGACCAGTATGGTCTACAAAATAAGTTCCAGGACAATCAAGGGCTATTACACAGAGAAACTCTGTCTCAAATAACCAAAACTATTGGGAGCGTGTTTTGTTTTATTTTACATGACGGGGAGAATTATGGTAGGGGTACAGCGCCCACAGAGGCTAGAACAGGGCTTCTCCCCCAGGAGCTGGAGTTATAGGTGGTTGTAATCTGCCCAATGTAGGTGCTTGGTGCTTGGAACTGAACTTTGGTCCTCTGGAAGATCAGCAAGCACTCTTAACCACTGGGCATTTCTCTAGCCCCAACATGAGTTATTGTAAAACTCAGAGTAGTCCAACCATGGTACTGTCAGAACTGACCCTCAGCACCCAGAGCTGTACCCAGATGCAGGAGGAGACTTGACCCACACACTGAGCCTGGTGAGTCTCCCCACAGGAAAGGCAGAAGGAGATGGCAAGATGCACATTACCCTCTGTGACTTCATTGTGCCCTGGGACACGCTGAGCACCACCCAGAAGAAGAGCCTGAACCACAGGTACCAGATGGGCTGTGAATGCAAGGTGAGCAAGAGCTGTGTCCTCATCCCCTCCCCGGCTTTGCCGTCCCAAGGTCTTCAGGTAGACAGCTGGGAACGTGTCCTCGGCTTCCCAGACCCTCAGGACAGTGAGTCCTGACTTTGGAATGAGCTCTGGGAAGTAAGGGAGTGACTCTGTCTAGCTAGAGACAAAGCCTTTGGTCCCAGGTCCCCAGAGAACCTTGAGTGGTGTCCTTGGCAAGGGATATTTGAAAGAGAAGGGGATTTGGGGGTGGGGCAAAGCACACAACTCAATCGATCTGACTGGCAGATCTCTAAGGAGAAAAGCTCCCAGGAAAGGAGATTTTGTAGGGAGAACACGGTCCTTGAAATATTTCCCTACCCATGTATAGATGTGAGCATCGTGTGTTCAAGAGCCTAGGTACTGCTCCCAACATTCTAGACTTCTGTGAGTCTGTCCAGAGGTGGCACCAGGCAGAGTTGTAGATGCATCGTTGCCTAGATGTGACAGGAAAGGGTGAGGTCTGTCCCCAGGTTTGGGGATTGTGTCACCTTAACCATGACCATGGCCCTGATGATTTTTCCCTTACCAGTACTGGGTAGCCAGCATTCCATCGTGTTAGCAGGAGTGAGTCTAAGGCTGAGAGTTGCCGGCAGAGTCCTGTCCTATGGGCCTGTGCCAGCTGACACTTTTTCGTAGTGCCCCTCCCCTTCTGGCTGGTGCTTGCCTTAACTTGGTTATCAAAGGTGCCATCCCATGCCCAGGTGTCCAGCCAAATACAGGCCAAGCATGGCTCCACACATTAAAGCAAACTCTAGTTGGGCATGCATATACACCACACTTGGAAGGGTGAGACTGGGGGATTGCTGGGTTTGGAATCAACCTATGCTGTAGAGTGTAATCCTTGCCAGCCTGGGCCACAGCGTGAGATTCTGTCTCAGAAAACAAGGAAAATCAGGCTGGAAAGTAGCACACACGAAGCCCTGGGTTTAATCTCTAGCACCACATAAACCAGGTGTGGAGGCACATTTCTGTAACCTCAGCACTCAAGAGGTGGGAGCAGGTGATCACAAGTTCAAGGTTGTCCTATGCTACATAGAAATTTCTAGGCCAGCCTGGGATACATGAAACTCTGTCTCAAGAACAAACAAACAAAAACCCCGGGCTCTCTTCATCTCTTTGTGGCCAGAGGTAGACACTCCGGTAGCTTCATAATCTTTTGTTAAAAAGTTATTAACCCATTGGCCAAAGCAGGTGACTTAGAACAAAGCATGGGAATTCTTATTTGGCTCTAATCTGTCTCCAGTGTAAGTCCTGTGCAGTAGCTGTAGCTGCAGAAGGGCCTAAGCTGAAACCATACCTCGAAAAAGGTAGACCAGATGGCCCAAAGCAGAGTGCACATGACATACCAGGATTACATAAATAGGTGGGTGCAGAAGTAAGTCAGTGTATGCACAAGTTTCCTCCAGGCCTGTCCTCAGCTACAGTACGGGGACCCAGAACACAGTAGGACTGCTGTCCTTGAACACCTTCAACAGGTTGTGTCCTGGAGATGCGTCGAGTGCCCTTGGCCCCAACTGTTCTTGGTCCCAGCTAAATCTGCCTGCATGTGTTCCCCAGATCACACGCTGCCCCATGATCCCATGCTACATCTCCTCCCCGGATGAGTGCCTCTGGATGGACTGGGTCACAGAAAAGAGCATCAATGGGCACCAGGCCAAGTTCTTTGCCTGCATCAAGAGAAGTGACGGCTCTTGCGCGTGGTACCGCGGGGCGGCACCCCCCAAGCAGGAGTTTCTTGACATTGAGGACCCGTAAACAGGCTGACAGAGCCCCTGCGGCCAATTGAAAAGCCTCTGAGGGTTTAGACTGGTCCAGCTCTGACATCCCTTCCTGGAAACAGCATGAATAAAACATCAATCATCCAAGTGGGTTCACGCTAGTGTGATTCTGCAACCCCCCCCAATTTTCCCTAAACATGGTTGTGGGTCTGGAGGGGCAGGTGGGCCAGAGTCCCTGCCACACTCCCTCTGTCTGCCAGGCTGAGCACTGTGTGTCTCAGTCTTTGATCCTTGGGTACCGGCAGGAGTGGAAAACAGACTTTTTACCAGGTCTCCTTGACACTGTCCCATACGGCTGGCAGGCAACATTTAAGGGTCCCCTAGCCCTTTGGGAGCAGAGCCTGGGAATGTGCATTTTGCAGAAACGCTTGACGGTTGTTGTGAGACTGTGTAGCCGGCCTACCAGGTCCTTTTCATCCTGAGAGGGACATGTCCCTCGCTTTCTGCAGTGGCCACCCCTCTGGCCCAAGGTCTCTCGCCCCTTGCAAGTCCCCCCCCCACCCATCTCCTCTGCACCTGATATGGACTCTGGGCACCAGGGTCTCGCTCGAGTCCAAGAGTAGCCCTCCAACCAGTGATTCATTTGTCCAGGAGTCCCAGTGGAGCCTGTGAACCCACACACTTCCAGTGGCGCCCCTTGTGCTGGTGGGAATGGGAGCCCTCCCTGAGCCATGTTTCTGGCTGCAGCCAAGTCATTTCTGTCCTACCCTTCCCCATCTCCACTCATCCCCTACTGGGGAGTCTGTGAGGTCTCATGCTGGAGGCAAGAATCTGTGTGAGGGATGCTTGGCTGTCCTTGCTGTCGCTCCTGGGCCTCTTGAGCTATTTTTGACCCCTTTCCGAGTGGCTTTGGGTGTCTGGGTTGAGCAGCACAGCTCTGCTTTCTGCAGCATCACACCCTGCTGCCATTGGGATGCTGGTAGCACCCACCCACCCCCCCTTTTTTTTTTTTTTTGCACAAATGGAAGGTGTAAGAGGCTAGTCCTATAAGACCCCAACAGAAAAATTCTAGTGGAACCTCCCTGCTACACTGGCCATCATTACTTCATGTGGATTTCTGCAGTGTTACTAACCAAGCACATGAACCCGCACACCGAGAGCCTGAGTGCAGCTCTTACCAAGCGGCTTGTTCTTAGAGAGGTCTCATTCTCCTAAGCTACCGTATGAGGCTGAGGGCCAAGTGCACTCACTTCTGCCTCTGTCTCTTTATGTCACAGAGGCTACTTTACCTGTTCAAGGCCCTTATAGGGAACTGGGGTGCCTACCTGCTCCCTAAAAAATTGACTTCCTGATGCCAGTAGGGTAGGGGTTAAAACAGGCAGAACTTTGTCACTAACAAAACAGAGATAGTCACTCTTCCTCCTACCCAAATCTTAAAAATAAGTTGTCCTGAGGACACACAGGTAAGTTATCCAAACATGCACGCATATGCTCACATAAAAACAGACTCAGAAGTCTGGCAGCCTGTGAGTGGCCCTTTTGTAAGATGCTTCCAAGGATCTCTATCCTCCTACCATGTCCTAACCATCAGAAACCCCAAAGCAGCTGTTAAGATCTGCCCCCCCCCCACTAGCCACACCCCCACACCCGGATCTGGCAGCTCAGAACTCAATTACTTCCCATTTCAGACAGACTTGGGGTGGGGGGGTTCCCCGGGACTCAGCCTGTGCGCCTGAGGACATTTTCATGTTTGCAGTGATGTTCTTCCCAGGATGCCGTCATGGACCAGCCCACGAGACCCTGCAGTCTATCCTGGCCTGCCTCTTTGCTTCCTGTGCAGTGGTATCATGTGTAACAATGCCCATTTCTGCTGACTTCTTGACATGTTCTGGTTTGTTCCTGATGTTCGCTGTGAGCATTCGTGTGCTGTGTTTATGCCCTTGGTAGCATTAGACTTTGCACTTTTTAAAAACAAAAGTTTCGGCATCGAGGAAGCATTTGACCCAGAGTGGAAAACATAGCACGACAGCTGTCTGGGGCCGAGGAACCCTTCATATCCTTGAGTTCTTTGAATATCTGTTTTCCCAGCCCCCTGACTCCTGTGCCTGCTTCAAATCATCATGAAGGAAGGAATCTCTGAGTAGATTGGTTCTAAAAGATGGCCTTTATTATTTCCTACTCACCTTGATTTTTCTAGCCACACCAGGCAGATAAGAGACAAACACGCAAACGATTGGGACAAAGTGCCAGACAGATGGCAGCTGAGCAACAGCCACTCAAATGCCTTCGCAGCAAGTCGACTGCAATGTATAGTTTAAGGGGTATGTCCACTTGGCATTGTTTAATTTGGCAGTGTTGTGTTCTAAGCACTGGGCTTTCCTCCCTCTTATCTCCATCATGCCAGCAACTCGAAATATTTCAGATGACGTTTACACAGTATGTATTTCCAAATCTCCGCTTGACGCATATTAAGGCATATCTGTGAGCTTGCCGCGTAATTTAAAGCTTTGTTGATTTTGTTTCCGTTTAAACTCTTGGTTGTTGGGGGGGGGGGAGAACCGTGTTCATGATGCAATATGAAGTCTGAGACGAACCCCCTGCACGCCATGCTGGCAACACCTGAGAGTTGTTGAAAGGCAAGGAGCCAGCTGCACGCGTCTCTGATGCTTTGTACCGGTTTTTATTTTTATTTTTGAGTGATTGCTCTGTCAATGGACAATAAACCATATTATCAAAGAGAAGGTTGACTCCCTGTGTGTCTGTTTCTGCTGTTGTTTAGCTGCAGGATGGGGGCCACTCCTCTACCAGCTAGAGGGAATGGGAGTCACAGGGAAATGGAGGACAGAAGCCATCCAATGCCCTGGAGCTGGAATTAGGGACAGTTGTGAGCCACCATGTGAGTGCTGGGAACCAGACCTATGTCCTCTGCAGGAACAGGCAGTGCTCTTAACTGCCCAGCCTTCTCTCCAACCTCTACATGTCCATTCTTTAACAACCAAGAGGAACGTTCCTGCCTGATAAAAAATGGTCAAAAGAAAGAAAGAAAAAAAAAAAAAAAAAAAAACCAGAAACAAAGACAAAACATGTTCAGCAAGGGGCTGAAGAAATGGCTCAGCAGGTAAGGCATTTGCTGCCAAGCCCAGTGACCCAAGTCAGGTGGCTGGAACCCACGTGGTGGAAGACAAAAACCTACGCCTAGAAGTTGTCCTCTGACCTCCACGTGTCCACGTGTACACACGAGTGAGTATACATGCACACGAATAAATAGACATGACTTTAATTTTTATATGTGAAGCAGCCAGGCATGGTGAGATGCATATAGAATTCTGGCTCTTGAGAGGCAGCGGCAGGAGGATCATGAATTTGAGGGTAAATTGGATTACATAGCCAGACTGTCTCAAAAACAAAAGTGGAAACTCAAACCGGAGCCTGCAGAAAGGTGGAGTCTGGGTTGTGGGTACAGGAGTACTTCCTCAGGCATTGCCTGGGAATAAAAGTGATTGCTACATTGTTTGTAGGTCAGTCACACTGTGTCTCATTTTGCCCCTTTTAAGGGAAGTCACAGGGAAGCCAGACAGAATGTTCCAAAAGTGCTGTCCCAAGCCAGTGTGTTGTGGGATTTTTCTGGGTTGATGTGAACAAATGTTTATTCACTCTGGGTAGGAAACAGTGACAAACCAGAGAAACAGTCTACCCAAATCCACGATGATAGACTCTGGGGGGGGGGGGGTGGCTTGCCCTGCCCTGCTTACATGATCCCGTGAATTTGGATCTCCAGCATTGAATGCACTGTCTGTGGTCGTACCTGACTGTAACACTGGTGTTCAGGAGGTAGAGGCATGAAGACCAGGAGCTCAAAGCCATCCTCAGCTACATAGTGAGTTCCAGGATTTACTGGGCTACTCAAGACTCTGTCTCCAAACAACAAACACCCAGCAAACGCCCAGCAGTCTTCCTCGATGACCTAATGAGCTTTGGGGTTATTTCCAGGGGCGGGGATGACTCAAAGGAAGCTGCATCACCAGAAACGGCTGCCCTATCGAAGCTGATGCTGCACCCCTAGAAACTACTGCTCAGCTTGAAGGCAGCGCCACCCCATTCTCTCAGCTCTTGCTTACATAACCCTGAGGGAGCGAGGGAGCAGTCTCATGACTGAGTCTGCCCAGCCTCTTCCTAGCTCCAGGAGGGAGCATGTCAGCTCAGAGGAAATAGCTGTGCACTCATCGGGATATTCGTAATTCCCCAGCAATGAGCTCTTAAATACAGTCCCACCCCATCCCTGCAAAACCCTGGCAGGCAAGAAATCTTCCGGGAAATGCGGTGCCCAGTCTTTACAGCTTCTCCGCTGCCCAGCAAGTAATTCCTATTTTCTAAATTCATTTATAATATCATCTTGAAGTTATATTAAGAAAGTAAGCCCACTGGCTGGTAGTGGCCCATGCTTTAATCTCAGCACTCAGGAGGCAGAAGCAGGTGTGTTTCTGACGTTGAGGCGAGCCTCATGTGTGTTAGGGAGTTCCTGGTGAGCCAAGACTACATAGTGAGATCCTGTCTCAAAAGCAGAAGAGTCAGAGCTTGGCTCTGGTTGAAAATGCTTACTGTGTAACCATAAGGACATGAGTTCAAATCCCAACACTCACTAACAAACCTAATGGGGTCTTGTGCATTCCTGTGACCCCCGCCAGGCTATGCAGGGGAGGGACTTGCCAACTGCATAGCTAGCCAAAAAAGTCTAGCTCCAGATTTAGGGGGAGACCCTGCCTCAAAGAAATACAGTGTATGCTGTGGCTGGGGAGGTGGTTCAGGGGTTAGAGCACTGGCTGCTCTTCTAGAAGACCTGGGTTCAATTCCCAGCACCCACATATAACTCCAGTTCCACAGACACACAAACATAAGTAAAATAAATAATGACAAAGAAGATCCTTTTTGAAGGAAGACAGTGGAGAGCAATAGAGGAGACCTCATGCCCTCCTTTGGCTTTGCATGTGTACAGGTTTGAGCACCCACATACACATGTGCAATACACTACACACAAGGCATCCAAATCAGACTACAAATCATGAATCATGATCCAGCATACACCTTTTTTTTTTTTTTTTTTTTTTTTTTTTTTTTTTTTTGGTTTTTTGAGACAGGGATTCTCTGTTTTGGAGGCTGTCCTGGAACTAGCTCTGTAGACCAGGCTGGCCTCGAACTCACAGAGAGCCACAGGCCTCTGCCTCCCAAATTCTGGGATTAAAGTTGTGTGTCACCAATGCCCAGAAACATTTATTTGCTGGTTAGATACAGGGTTTCTCTGTGTAGTCCTGGCTGTCTTGGAACTATTTTTGTAGACCAGGTTGAACTCAAACTAAAGGAGATCCTCCTGCCTCTGCCTCCCTAAGTGCTGGGATTAAAGGTGTGCGCCACCTTTAAACCTTTAAGGTGTGTATGTATGTGTGAAGGATTCAGGAGAACCTCAAGCAAACTGTGGGGACACACCTGCTTTACCTACTGTTCTGGAAAGTGCTCACGCCTCCTGTGCCTCTGTGTGACCCTCCCTCTGGAATTTTCTTCCCATCCTCACTCCTGGCCCTAGCTTAACTTGTCTCAATCTTGGCTCAGGTTCTCACGGTGTCACACTGGAAGAAGGTCAGGCTGATGTGTGGATGTCGCCTGTAAGCCTCATTATAAACGCTGGGTCATTCCATGTTACTGGAAAGCAGTTCGGTCCTCAGGGGAGGATGTAGGAGTGGCCAGTCATGGAAAGTGAAAAACTAGAAAGGTTGTGCTTTCTAGTGCCATGGGTGAGGGCCATTGGGAAGGGGGTGTGGCTTGGTGCTGTGGGTGGAGCCATTGGGGAGGGGGTGGCTTTGTGTTGTGGGTGGGGCCATCGAGAGGGCGTGGCTTTGTGCCGTGGGTGGGGCCATTGGGAAGGGGTGTGACCTCATGACAGTGGCTGTGGGTCAAAGGCGGGGTGACCTTCTGTGGCAGGGAATTGGCTCCTGAGTTCAGGGTTGGGGTCCCATAACACCTGTACTTTCTGCTGAGGATAAATACTGGGGTGCAGGGAAGAGGAATCAAAGGGCAAAGGAGCGTCGGGCTTGGCACAGAACCGTAACCCTCGTTACTTGGGTGGCTAACACAGGAGGGTACACAAGTTACAACTGGCCTGAGCAACTTAGCAAGACCCTGTCTCAAAGAGTAAAGCAAAAAAGGCAAGATTGCTGCCAAGGCGGCAGCCACATGGGAGGTGGGCATCAGCGATGAGGGCCGTTGAGTGTGTGAGGGCGGCAGCCACATGGGAGGTGGGCATCAGCGATGAGGGCCGTTGAGTGTGTGAGGGCGGCAGCCACATGGGAGGTGGGCATCAGCGATGAGGGCCGTTGAGTGTGTGAGGGCGGCAGCCACATGGGAGGTGGGCATCAGCGATGAGGGCCGTTGAGTGTGTGAGGGCGGCAGCCACATGGGAGGTGGGCATCAGCGATGAGGGCCGTTGAGTGTGTGAGGGCGGCAGCCACATGGGAGGTGGGCATCAGCGATGAGGGCCGTTGAGTGTGTGAGGTTATAAGTGGGCAAGAGTGTGGGAAAGATGCTCACATGACTGTGTGTGCTCACCGCGGGAAGAAATGAGCACGGAACACGTGGCTGTAAAAGCTCTGTGTGTGTGTGTGTCTGTGTGTGTGGTATGTGTGTGTCTGTGTATGTATCTGTGTGTGATGTGTGTGTCTGTGTGTCTGTGATGTGTGTGTCTGTGTGTGTGTCTGTGTGTGTGGTATGTGTGTGTGGTATGTGTGTGGTATGTGTGTGTCTGTGTGTGATGTGTGTGTCTGTGTCTGTGTGTGTGTGATGTGTGTGTCTGTGTGTGTGATATGTGTGTGTGTGTCTGTGTGTGTGGTATGTGTGTGTCTGTGTGTGTGTCTGTGTGTGATGTATGTGTCTGTGTGTGTGGTATGTGTGTGTCTGTGTGTGTGATGTGTGTGTCTCTGTGTGTGTGTGTCTGTGTGTGTCTGTGTGTGATGTATGTGTCTGTGTGTGTGGTATGTGTGTGTCTGTATGTGTGATGTGTGTGTCTCTGTGTGTGTGTGTCTCTGTGTGTGTGTGTCTGTGTGTGTCTGTGTGTGGTGTGTGTGTCTCTCTGTGTATGTTTGAGTGTGTGTGTGTGTCTGTGCTGTGTCTCTGTGTGCTTGAGTGTGTGTGTGTGTCTGTGTGTATGTGTGGTATGTATTACAGAAGTATGACAGGGACTGTGCATGTGTAGATCCCAGCAGTGCAATCCCTGGTACCAATACTTAAGAAGAGAGTGGATTCTGCCAGCTTCATTCGGGGGGAAGGACCCTGCCTGCCTGGGCACAATCTGGCCAGGCCCCCCAGGGCAGTCCCAAGGAACAGATGTAAGGGCCTAGGAGCCCAGGAGTCTCCTGTTTCAAAAACTGTCAATCCAGAGTCTCAATAATCCTCGGGATGGATCCCAAAGAGAAATGGACACCAAACCACTGAAGCTGGGAACCCTAACCATACTGCGGGAAGGGCGCTAAACAAATACCCACAGCTAGCACAAAGCGCAATGTAAAACTATCAACAACTTTGTCCTGGCTGTGTGGGAGAGTCCCACAGCAGTGCCTGAGCTTGCTGGTGTCCTCAGGGACGCTTTCATGGCCTCTACCTGCCTTTCTGAGGAATGCCTTCATGTGGGAAAGTCAGTTTCCTGCATTTGTTGTTGTTGTTGTGACAAGACTCCTGAATGTGTGAGGTATTCACT